TTTATTCACAAAAATATTGTTTTCAAAATTTCATATTGAATCTTCTTTTATGATAAATTTTAATGGAGGCAAAAATGAAATATGAAAGGTCTGATTGAAACTATATTTGATACAATAATTAAGTCTAGTTAATTGTAAAGCTGCATTTTACGATTATGTAGAATTATTTGTGTGATATATACATTCAATACTTATGTAAGTGAATTGTGCGGACGTGTTCTGAAAAGTGAACTAAAGAAAGTGAATGGACAGCATCCGTAAATAGCTCTCTGTGCTTTTCTCCCAGTGAAAGAGGACAGAACTGAAAAAGACAGTGTTTGGTGATGAATATTTGAAAAGCATAGAAGAAAAAAAAGCAGAACGTGTACAGTGAAATGTAAAAATATCCAAGTGTTTGTGCTTGGCGACCAACACTGTGACGCTTTTTTAAAATATTATTTTAAAAATGCGTTATAGCATGGCGCAACCAAAGGTGCAGTGGTTTAATAATACTATAGTGTCGGAACAACAAATAGATGACTTATTATGCTGAGTCAATGCATTCATTATTCCTACTTCACCTACCAAAGTTTCAGTGGCGTCAAATTAAAATAAAGATTGTTACATTAGAGATGTAAATAATTTTAACAGGAAGATGCATTAATAATTTCAGTGGCATTTAAAGATGTAACAACATATTTAATAGAAAAAGAAAATTTCATAAGAAGAAATATTTGGTTAATTTCAGTGGTATCAAAAGAAAACATAATTATTACATAGAAAAGTTATTATATCTAAAGCTAAAAAAATGCATGTTGTGACTTGGTCGCATGGGTTGAACACAAAGTTTTCTCGTGAAGTTTGATCGTGAATTTGGTGGTGTGATTTTCTTTGTTTTGTCAAGAAGATCTTTCTCATCTTGCTTAGACCAATTGTGTAATTAGTGTTGTCTGTGGTCTGTGGCCATTTTTGGTTTTCTTAATTTTCCAAAGTAACGCATTGAAGGAAAGAATAGCATTCCCATGTCTTGAATATTGTAAAAACAATTGTGCCAAATACAAAAGTGACAAATGGTCGGTGCCAGTCGGTTTTTAAAGTGTTTCTTTTTAATTCAAAGAATTTGTAAAAAAAAATTGACCTTAATTAAAAAAAAAAAGATTTGTTTCAGAACAACCACAACGAAAGGATAGAAGGATAGAAGAATCCATCTTCACTCCAATGTATTTGATACATTATACAAATAAATTACTTAAATTGGCAAATATTTTAAAGCTCAATTTTTTTAATACTGGGAAGGTATATGAAAAATAAAATACACATACATATAACAATCCTTTGCCTACATTTAAAGAAAATATTAATAACACTATCTGATGGTGGAAGCAAAAACGAATTCATTTTAAACAAAAAATTTATACGTAGAACAAACTTGCAAACTAAAATTGTAAAATTCATTGTTCAATTTTTTTTTTTTATTTCAAAGAACTAGTCACTAGTCTAGTTATTGAAATTTAAGGTGACGTTCATAAATTTTATGCCCTCGGTTACGTAAGTACGTTAAGTAATTAGGTTATTTCTTCAGTTACATAATTATCTACTCGAGTCAACAAGTTAATGAATTAACGAAAATATAAAAAGAGATGAATAATCTTTTCTTTCACATATAAAGCTACTATTAATTAATGAAACCAGTTTTTAATGTAGAAAATTAATTTTACGAAATTTGATATTAAATTACTCTATAATTCGTATAACGTATTCTCATATTTACAAAACATAATTACCGTTCAATATGAAAAAGTTGTGGAGATGAATTAAAATTTTTATTTTTTAAATATTTATAAAATATTCAATCTCAAAATTTTATTATCAATATATTTATTCCAACATTTACAAAACCATTATATTGACTTGCTATGATAAGATTTTATTTTATTTCAGCAAAATATATATTAATTGAATTTAATAAAATATAATAAAAGTGGAACATGGGAAAATAATACAATATTTATAAAATAATAATTGCTAAAACTATTTGTTGACATTTATCTTCATTCTACGTTTCGTATGTTTGTCAATTATTTTTGTGACATAACCTAAAAATTATAGGTTAATATGTTTAATTTTACAATCGGAAATAACTTCAAATATATTTTTAAATATCATTTCAACTAGAATTAACTTTTGGATTTTTAAAACTATTTTGTCTTTTATTTGTTTTTAATATTCCTACATTGTAGCACTACTATAATAGTGTAGTACTACGATAAATAAAATGGAGTTAATATTGCACTTTCGCAATTGTTTCTACAAGTAAAATAAAATTGACATTAAAATATTTTGCTATATAAAATCCCCTTTACCAAATCTTGATATTTTAGTACACAGATTCATGTTAAATGCATATACTTATTTCACCATGTGTAATAAAATATATGTAATAAGATTAGCAAAAAAAATATATTAAACTATCTTTTCTAAACTGCAACTGAGATGGAAGAATTTGAATTATTTTTATTGTAATTTTAAATTACAATTGCAATACTTATTGCAATTTCTATTAATATTCACATTATAAAATTATTTCTAAACGATCATTTTATAAAACATTTCATAAATTTTAAGAAAAGAAATTAATAATTTAAAATTTAACACCTAAATGACCATAAAAATTTCATGTTATGTGGGAAATTGTTAAAAATTAACATAAATATAATAAAAAGATTTTATATATATATATATATATATATATATATATATATATATA